ATGACAATCCTGAGCGAGCACAAAGCTGAAAGTCTATAGAGCTGTGGTTATTCATTTTCTCCTGGATAACCACGACATGAGTAATGTCATAATGTTATGAGTATAAACAAAATGGACATGAGTCATGGATTCTGTACATATCAAATAACTGAAGAAGTTTCACATCTGTGCTCTCTACTCCATTTTTGGCATTTGTGGCAAGGTTGTACCTCCAACCTGGAGGTCATGGATCATGCAGAGTCCACTAGCCATTGAGTGCATTGCATAGTCAGCATACTACTAACTATTGCATCTCAATTATCAGAGCCTATATGAGTGGGATATGTTATCAGAATGGATGACCACCTTATGCCTATCCAGTTGTTCTAGTGTGCTGGAATCTGGGAAGAGACCTTGAGGTCAACCAGCTAAGTGCTACAAATACACCATGAAAGAAAACCTACACCACTAGGACATCAAGCTAAGGGAACTAAAAGCTGCATCTGCTGACAGAACCTGCTGGCGACCCCCTATGCTATCAATCCATCAATTTTGAAGATAGACACTGCCAAACTTGATAGATAACCATGAAATTATAGAATAACACCCAGTTACTACAACAATGGATTTTCAGTGCCCTCAATGTGCTAGATTCTACATTTCCAGACTGGGACTAGAGAGCCACCTCCAAATCCAGAGATGAACTGTATAACACCATGTCTTCTTCAAAACCAAAGGACTCTGATATATATTCGACGGCTCTTTGTAAAAATGAAACTCATTAAAAAATATTAGGAACAAAAAAATCAGAGGAACTGAAATTCAGAGATGAATCTTTCTCATGCTGCTACTAGTAGTCAGAAGAAAACTAAGGGGAAAAGCAAGAACCACTACTAGAAGCATATTCTATATGCCAAGGAGGCACTTTCCATTGAAAAACCTGTCTTTGCTCTAGAAGATGTCAATTATGAGTTCTGGGAAGTCACATTACTTATATGTTTCAAGCACAAAGATCACAATTATAAAATGAAGATTAAAAAGAAGATATGTCATTTATTCTTTTCCTTGAAAAGCCAGTAGAGAGAAGAGGAATGATATATCTTAGGGTCAAATTAATTCTACAATCTGAAGATTCTCTATGTAACAGTTTTATCTCTTGTGCAATAGATCTAATTTTGTCGGACTTAGCAGTAAGAAAAGGGCTTGAGCTGAAGAACAGAAGTATGCTGTGTATGGGATAATACAGTATAAAAAGAACAATGTAAGAAAAATGTTGGAATATGCAACTTCATGTGTTAACATCAGCTTCTTGAATCAAACTCAGAAGTATGTTGGTAGCAAAAGCCTATAGAATAACACTGGCTCAATATTATTTTAAGACATATTTATTTATATTTACTCAGAGGCAAATGAAAATAATTTGTAGTGGCCAAAACTTTCAAGGGCAGGGCAGTTAATTTGTTACAGTTATTAATCCTGACTTCCATTGAAATATCAGTTATTTATTTTTATTAAATTTATATGCTACCTATCACATTGCATGAGTTCCTTTTTATCTAGGAAAAGACAGAACAAGTCCAGTGAATATGGTTGTTAAACCAATACTGGTTAATTTCAAAAGGATCTTTTCATATTAGGAGAGTGAACATCAAAATGGCAGAAGTCAATCAAGGTTAAAAAATGTAAAATGATACACATTGGTGCCAAAAATCCTAACTATTGATTCAAACTAATGAGATCAGAGCCTGCAGTGACAGATAAGGAAAAATATCCTGGAATAATGTTAAACAGTTCAATGAGGCTGCTGACACTGTGTGTATCTGCTGTATCATAACACTCAAGTATAAATCAATGATGCAACTTCATATTGTATGCAGTTCTGGTTGCTGCACCTCAAAATAGATATAATGGAGGCTACGATGATTAAAGGGCTGGAGCAGTTTCCTATGAGAAAAGCAACATTTGGGTTTTTAATCTAGAAAGGCAAATGAGAAGAGACATGATTAATGTGTACAAAATTATCCATGATAATAAAGTGGAGAAGAAAAAGCTATTTTTCCCTTCCCAAAATATAAGAAAAAGTCTAATGAAAATGAATTCAGGGAGAATCAGGATAAACAAAAGGATTTTTTTATATTCCAAAGGTGCTTTTTCCCAATGCAACTGGACTTCCTTAGGGTTGTTGTTTTTTTTGTTTTTTAAGATGCTTTGCTTCTCATCCAATAAGCTTCTTCAGCTCTGACTGAATGGTGTGGAATGAAAGGATTTATATTCCTTGAAGACAACTGGTCATTTGTATTCTTTGAGAGAGTCATTCAGGCCACCTGGAGGTTTATCTGTGTCCTCAGGGTCACCTGAGTAGGGCAAATGGGTGTGGCGCCTTCTTCCAACTGCTGAAAGGAGTGTGGAGCTGTGCTTTTTGGCGGGATGTTTTCTGCCGTGTGTCCCTTCACTGCTGGGGATGAGTCTGTGTTGTCTGCATCTCAAACTGAAGTGCAAATGGTTCCTGTAGTCTGCAATTTTTTTGGAAATCAGTTCATACTCCCATACCATTCAAAGGGGGTTCATCCATAGACATTTAGCTATGCCCTTTGGGATGAACCCCCTTCAAATGCTGTGGGAGTATGAACTGATTTCCAAAAAATTGCAGACTACAGGAACCAGTTCCATTTGCACTTCTCAGGTGACTCTAAGGACACAGTTAAACCTCCAAGTGGCCTCAACGACTGTCTACTCTAAAAGAATGCAAATGACCAACTGTCTGCAAGGAATATAAATACTTCCATTCCCCATTATCCAGAGCTGAAGAAGTTTCTTGGATAAGAATCAAAACATCTTCAAAGAAAAACAAGAAAGTCCAGCTGCCCCAAAGCACCTTTGGGACAACCATGACCTGAATGACTGAGAATCTCCATTGACAATTTTTTTTATACAACACATAATTAAACTTTGGAATTTGCTACCAGGGATGTTATGTAAGCTGCTAGCTTGCTGGCTTAAAAAAAAAGTTAAATCAGCCAAGCTAGTATGGATAAAAGAATGGATCACCTTGGAAAATAAGAGAATTCTTAGCTTAGAAGGCCATGACCTGCAAAAAGGCTGGCACGCCCACATCTGGGAAATGGAGAAGAAAAGGAAGACACATTTCCATAGACATAAAATTAGAGATTCCCTGATACAAACATGGACCCAGATTAGGCAAAAATATTACAAAAAAATCCCAAATTGGCTCTCAACGATGGAGGCCCTGACCCACCCAAATAGGTGGGAGAGGGAGAAAATGGGCAGATATAAAGATATCCTAGACGAAAGAGGGTGGCTTAAACCAAATGATATCTTACGAGAGCAAGGAATAACTTTAGATTGGTGGACTTATGCACAAGTAAAATCCAGATATCAGAGAGACAAAGAACAATATGGTTTAGAACTGGGATCAAATGGACTGGATAAAGTCTTGATGGGAACAAATAAAAAGATTCTGGCAAAACTATACAATTATCTATTAAACGATGACAAGTTCGAAGATGTTACGAAGAACCAAATAATTGCATGGGAGAAAAATATAGGGCGCAATATAAATTTTGGGGAATGGGAGGAGGCATGGAACAGAAATCTTAAATTGATTAGAGCGGTGACATATAAGGAAAACCATTACAAAATGTTTCATAGATGGTACCTAGCCCCGGCCAGACTAGCGAAGATATATCCCAATATACATCCCAATTGTTGGAAATGTGGCCACGGTCAAGGCACCTTCTTTCACATGTGGTGGACATGCCCGGAAGCAAAAGGATACTGGAATAAAATTAGGAGATGGTTATATGAAATAACTGATGAAGATATTGAATTAACACCAGAGATTTTCCTCCTGGGAATAATAAAGAAGCCATATAGAAAGGAAATGACACATTTAATGATCCATATAATTACAACTGCTAGATTGGCATACGCACAGTATTGGAAAGAGAAAATTCAACCACCAGAAGAGCTTACAATTAAGAAAATACTCGAGTGCGCAGAGATGACTAAATTAACCTATGAATTAAATGATGAAAAGTCAGTTTACTATATGGTGTGGGAAAGGTGGTACAAGTGGTTGCATGATAGAATGAAAGAAAGATCTAAAGGTGTGTTAAATAATGGTTAAAAGTGAGATAAAATGTCACCAAGTATTATCTATGTAAATAGTTAAAACACTGCACATCCGATACAAATTGAAAATCTATATTATGTTTATGTTGTTCTATGTTATTGTTTGAATGTTTGTTTGTTTTTTCTTCTTATTTCTCTTTTGTTTTTGTTTTTGTTTTTTTTAAAAAAAAACCTTAATAAAGTTTAATAATAAAAAAAAAGAATCAAAACATCTTCAAAGAAAAACAAGAAAGTCCAGCTGCCCCAAAGCACCTTTGGGACAACCATGACCTGAATGACTGAGAATCTCCATTGACAATTTTTTTATACAACACATAATTAAACTTTGGAATTTGCTTCCAGGGATGTTATGTAAGCTGCTAGCTTGCTGGCTTAAAAAAAAAAGTTAAATCAATTCATGGAAATCATGGGGAGCAATAACTTTTAGCCTTGATGGCAGTGTCTGGCTTTAAAGGCCATCAGCTGGAAGATTAGTAGGCTTCCTTGTGTAGCTGGTTGGTCACTGTGAAAACAGTCTGATGGGCTATCTGGTCAATGGGTCTGATCCAACAGGACACTGCTTATGTTCTTATGTTAACTGAAATAATCTACTGATAAAAAAGGGTGAATCAAATGTCTCTCCTAAACTGTGTACTTATTTCAATGAGTAAACAACAGCCATCTCAAATATCTACAAATTGTACGATCCACAATCTGGAGGGATGCTACTATTATCAACCTTGGCATGATTCAGATTCATTTCAGTTTGTTCGATCACCTGCCCACTCTTTCCAAATACATTATGAAAAAGAGTACTGGAAGTTTAGTTGCTAAACCTCCCTGTTAATCAAATGTTAGTACATTAGCACATAAAATCTTTATCACCTTACCCTCCCATCTCAGACTGAGGAGTAGTTTTGGTAATAACAATAGTTTTTCCCAATTTGGATTCCAGATCCACTTTGTAGTCTCGATGCCGCAGAAGCTCACGCTTGATAGGCTGCACTGGTTTGCCTAAAACATAAATTAAAAAAATTAATGAGGATAGACAGACAAAGAGATAGAGAGGATGGTTTGATATACCCTTGAAATATAAAACCTTCATTTTAGTCAGTAGATATTTTTTCCTCTATTGCCCAAGAAAGTTCTTCATTTAATTTTAATTCCCCCAACTCTAAGATCAAATAAACCTAACTTCTTAATTTGTTGAATATTAGTAAATTAAACAGGAAATAAGTTTTTACCATTTTTAAAAGAACATAATATGAAGTGTCTGTCTGTCTGTCTGTCTGTCTGTCTGTCTGTCTGTCTGTCTGTCTATCTGTCTATCTATCTATCTATCTATCTATCTATCTATCTATCTATCTATCTATCTATCGATCTATTATGCCGCCCATCTCCCCTGCAAGGTGATTCTGGGCAGCTAAATCTTCTCTCTGAAATGTTGTCCTTTGCATTTCATTCTACAAACTGATTTAGCAACTACTAATGAAACAGAGCCGTGCATTGCATAGTCAGCATACTACTAACCATCTTTCTTCTCTCTTTCCTCTGTAAGTCGTTTCTCTGCAAGCTTCTCATATTCATCTTTGTCCCACTTTCGGCGGAAGTCTAAGTTTTTAGCCTATGATTGAAAGAATGCAATGTTCCAGTTAACAAAAAAGGTTGGTGTTGACAATAATATGAATTATTGGCTTGTAGGAGATTCATTTTCTCTAAAAACTCTTACACAGGAAAAGCATGAACAGGCAATGTTTATACAGAAAGCATTAACCTCAACTATTATATGCTACAGTCAAATTCTAAAAGCTACAGAACTGAAAAGGTCTGATAAGGAATAAAACTTTTCTTTAAATTTCAACAGCTGAATTCCACAAGGGTCAACAATCTCTTTAGGCAGTATACATATATGGTGAAATTTTAGGTTGCATCAATAGAAATATCCATTCTAAATCATGAGAAATAATAGTTCCACTTTTTCTGTAGTCAAAGTCCATCACAGAACAGCATCTTAAGTCTTCACAAGAGAGGACCAACGACAGCTATGATTATAGTCTTCAAATGTCTGAAAGGATGTTATACAGAAAAAAGTCTAGCTCTCTCTTTCTCAGACAAGGAAGACTCAGAATACTGGAGTAAAGTTATAGGAAGGCACATTATCACTGAATGTCAGGGATTATTCCAAAACAATAGTGGAATTAATTACCCAGAAGGATTCCCCTTCACTGGATTTGTTTAAATGGACACTAGGCAGCCATTGGTGAGGATTCCTGCCCTGAATAAGGAATGGGACTCAATGGCTTGAATGGCCCTTCTAACTGTATCATTGTATGATCTTGTGTCTGGGCATTTAAAACATTGCTTCGTTTCTGTCTGAAAGGGCAGAAATCTCATGAGTTTTCAGTCTAGAGATCTTATGAGAGAACATTTCACCATGATAAGATTTGGTGAATACGCAAGATTTCATCCATTTTAAAAAATGACTGTTTCACTTTGGACTTCCATATGTGCCATTTAGAGGCATCATGATACCCACAATTGCTGATACACATGTTTTACTCTTATTAATATTCTTACAATACTACTTTTGTTTTACGAGAAAAGACCGTGATACCATTCCTGACTAAAATAAATACTAGCCTATGGAGAAAATTACTAGACTAAGAAGGTAGAAATTGCTTATTAAAGTGAACTACAGTAAAATAAAGGCAGCAGATATCTGATAAATGAAGTATTTATATACGGTAGTTTTAAGAAAAATGCAGGGAGATACAACCAAAATGAAAATGTTGTCATTAAATGGAAGAGGGAAAAAGCAATAGAAGTACATCTAGATAGTCTTAAATTATGACACGGAAAAAAAACTATTACCTACTAAGCTTCCATCTTATATGGAATTTTTCATTATAAGAAAAAAATCCTAAGAACTGGACATGGCAAGATGTCAAGATAACATTTAGAACTATGATTGGTTCAGGGGTGAAATGCTCCCGGATCGCCCAATCTGGTAGCAATGGCGGTGGGTGGTTCGGAGAACCTGTAGTAAAAATCTCTGCGCCTCCCCCCCCCCCACCATGCCCAGCTGAGCCGCACGATCATCAGAGGCTTTTTTTTTTTACTTTTAAAAGCATTTTTTCTACAACCTCTTCCGATTAAAAAATGCTTTTAAAAGTAAAAAAAAGCCTCTGATGATCCTCCGGCTCAACTGGGATTGTCAGAGGCTTTTCAAAGCATCATGCAATCCAAACCCAACTGGCTTCTCTGCGTCCCAAGGAGACACACACACACCCTGCGCTCAGCAGCCACTTCGACCGGCTTCGCCTTCTTGCGCCCCACCCGAGCCATTTGTTGCAAGCCGAGGAGGACGCAGAGCGATGATCGCGTCCCTGTCTCAAAGTCCCCTCTCGACTCCGGATGGGTTTCACAGTTGTGTCCTTGAGTCAACGCCGGGGAAGGAGCAGAAGGGCAGCCAGAGTTTCTCCTTTTCCATGCCCTGAAATCTTTTGAGACTAAGAAGAATCTTAAATCTCTCAGGGGAGATTGGGGCCTTCTGCTGCCTAGGGCTCTGGACACCTGCGCCACTGTCCAGGGGTCTCTGTGGCCTGAGAGGGATGGCGAGGCTCCTCTGGAGGACAGGTGTTTGACACTCTCCCTGGTCTCGCCTTCTCCCCTGGAGACAATGGATCCCCCCAGTCCTGCCCGGGCCACCACAGGTGCCCCCGACATGAGTGACATTGAGCAGACCAGGCCCACCCAGCCTGAGGTCAAACACAACCCTGATGCAGCCCTCAATGAAATAGAGTTTGACATCCCTGTTCTAAGGTATTAGCTATTTTCCTGAGCTCAGTTTTATCTGCAAATTTGATGAGTTCCTCTTTTATCCCCTTGTCTAGATCATTTATAAAGATACTGAAAAGTACTGGGCCCAAGGCCAACCCTGTGGCATCCCACTGCATGCTTCCCTCCATGTAGATATAGTTCCATTAAGGATTATCCGTAGGTATGATTGGCCAGCAAATTGAAAATCCGTCTGGTTATAGTACCATCTATCCCAGTGATGGCTAACCTTTTTGCCATTGCGTGCCAGGAGGGGGGGTGTCGCATGCGCGTATGCCCACACCCATAATTCTATGGGCCCTGCCCCCATGCATGCACGCGCAACCCCCCCCCCAGCATGCAATGGCACGGTAGGCCTGTTTTTTGCTCTCCCCAGACTCCAGAGCCTTTCTAGGAGTCTGGGGAAGGTGAAAACGGCCTTCCCCACCACCACTCCCAAGGCCCTCTGGAGACCCTCCAGAGGCTGAAAATGGCCCGTTTGCCAACTTCCAGTGGGACCGGAAGTCCCATTTCCGGTGGGACCGGAAGTTGGCAAACAGGCTGTTTTTGGCCTCTGGAGGGCCTCCCGGGGGGTGGGGAAGGCCGTTTTCGCCCTCCCCAGACTCCTAGAAAGGCTCTGGAGGCTGGAGAGATAGAAAAACAGCCCTTCCCCACCCACCCCTCAAGGTCCTCCGGAGGCAGGAAACAGCCTGTTTCCCTACCTCTGGTGGGCCCAGAAGGCCCGAAAATCAGCTAGCCAGCACACGCATGCGCATCGGAGCTGACCTTGCATGCCCACCAATATGGCTACACATGTCACCTGTGGCACGCGTGCCATAGGTTCGCCATCATGGGTCTATCCCATATTATTCTATCTTACTATGAAATAGGTTGTGGTCTACTTTGTCAATGTCTTGCTTGAAGTCTAAGTATATTATGTCCACAGCATTTTGCTTGTCCACTAATTTAGTTACTTTATCAAAAATGACAACAAGGTTTGTCCCGATCTGTTTTTAAGAAACCCAAGCTGGCTTCTAAGAATCACCTTGTTTGTTTCTAATGCTCATAAATCCTTTGCTTATCTTATTCAAGATTTTGTCAGATACATGACCACCATCCTACTGTTTCATTCAATTCAAGGCTCAAATGTTAAAAAGTAGCATTATACTTTCTAAACCTTGTAACAGAAACAGTACCATCAGTTCATAGTAAGCAGGCACTATGTTTTAAAAATAATGAAACTGGGTGCTTTTGCTTACCTAGTACATGGATTAATTATTCTGTTCAGTGTGTAAAAATCAACTACTGCATGGGCACCACATGCTGTTTATGTACCAGACAGTGAAGAAAGAGCTGAGATCAAGATATCCTTTGGCAAACAATCCCTCACTCTGAAAATCCATCCCTCTGGCAGTTCATCTAAATAACTCAGAGCTTCTGATCAGATGAGCACTGATGGTCAGGATGATATGAGTATTATTTTAATATTAATCATAAGGAGGAAAAATAGCTTGAAGATTTCTTATACTTTGTTAATTTGCTTTGAAAAATATTAATTCCTATTATTACTCAAATTATTGTCACCTACCTAGAGCATGAGAAGAAAAAAGGCTTTAATTTTAAATTAAGTTTTACAACTTTAAATTGTTACTAAGCCTGAGCCTAAGGGATAGTTAGACTAAGACATCAAAATTAAAATTAGTCAAGCATTTCTACACAAACATTTTAATGTCAGAGCTCTGCTTGTTATTTTTCCACTATCATAAATTCGCTTCAAGGATTTCAGTAGGAGCTTAGAAATCTCAGTAAGATAATTTTCTTCCCCTACAACCTGCCATAGCTCAGCAATGTATTTCCATGCATCAGTTTCTATTCTGGATCCCTTAGCCCAACAACACACAGAATGCAATGATAAAGAGACTTGATAAAGTAGCAACTGATTTCAAATACCCCATTTACTTTGGGATTGTTGGGGGAGGGGGGGAAGGGTGCCTTTGAAACAGTGTTGACTCCTGGCAACTAATCCCTGCAGTTCTCGTGGCAAGATTTTTCAGAAGTGGTTTGCCATTGTCTCCTTCCTAAGTCTATGAGAAGTGACTAGTCTAAGATCATCCAGCTGGCTCTATGCCCAAATCAGGACAAAAACTCATAGTCTCTTCATTTCCAACCTGATGCTTTAACCATTACACCACACTAGCTCTCACTTTTGTTTATCAAGTGATAACCTTTCCTTAGTTCTTTCTTTAAACATTATTTAGTTTCTACACTAAAGAAATTATACAGAAAATGCCTAAAACATTACAGGTAGTCCTCGACTTACAACCATTCATTTAATGATTGTTACTGTACGTTTCTTGTTATTATTTTTCCCTCTAAAATATTTCAATTTGTTTTTCAATTGAAAGGTGGAAAAATCTGAAGTGATATCTTGGTCTTATTGTTTTACATTTCAAAAATTTGGCATTTTAACAAAGGTGTGTAGGCTTTTCATCACTCTATATATATGGCATTGGTTTCTTACTCAGGTCTATCTTGTTGGGCTGACATCAATCTTGCAACCTCAAGGTATTTTCTTCAACTGGAATTCAAGCCCTGCTTATCTAAATGCTGCCACAATAGCAGCTCTCCCTTTTGTCCTTCAGAGTCATTGCCTATCCATCTATAGTATCTAAAGTTATCTGGACTAACATTAAAAGACATTTTGATAATTACAGGTTTATGGAAGTTTAGGGATAAACAGAAGCAGAGTTGTTTTAATATAGCAAATAGCTCTAAACCATACATACCGTATTTTTCGAACTATAAGAC